GTGTGTGTGCGCGTGTGTGTGCAACCAGGTTGACAATAGCTGTTTCTGTTCTCTCTGTAGACTAGTGTTTCAGGACATTAGTGGCAGATTGCCCCAGGTAGGGTTTACACACTCTGTGTGAGAGCCAGTGTGCATCCTCCTCGTCTCCAATGACTGCGTGCTGCTAGACATTATTGACCATCTGAGATTGAAACGCCTTCTCTGTCTTCTTCTACTAACTCACTGGATTCTGACATGGGTGGAGTTGCGGAAGGGGGAGAAGAGAATTAAGTTGAAATCTGATTTTGTGACACATGTACTGCATAGAGACGTCCATTCACAAATGATCTACAGGAGAGATGGGTGTACATTTTGAGGGGAAGTTAGGTGCAGTATTGCAGGTCAATACTTGAACAGTGGGTCAATATCTTTTACCCAAATCTGCACCAGTGATTAAGTTTTCAAGTCTATTCCAAGATACATTTTGTCTTTTTTTTGGCCTCGTCCCTAGGTAAATCTAGCTTCATCCGTGAATTTATGACTTTTCATTATGTTCTTCTGGCGAGATACATTAAAACACATTTTATTACATTATTTGACATTTTCATCACACACTTTTATTCCATAATCAGAAAACATGTTCAGAGAATTGTCCACAACTGTGATGACTGAGACAAAAACAAAAAAAACAAATTACTCCATTTTTCAGGACATTTTTTTGTTATACTTTTTTTCATTGATTCACACAAACATATGAATTCTTATGTGTCAACGAGCTGCATTGCCATGATTTGAAATACAAACAGGATGCTAAATGATTAAGGCAGTAGTCAGAGGGATCAGCAGTTAATTCCGACCCCTTCCAGGAATCTCCCTATCTGTTTCACCTGTGGCATGCTAACTGAATCAATGTCGGCATGCAGACATATTGACAAGGCTGACTCATCCCCCAGACCACCCTATTTCCTCCCCCCTCTTTTTTGTGTCATCCTTAATTGCACTTCTTCTCGCTCTTTTCATCTTTTCTTCCTCAGTCAATAATTAAAACCTTTTTTTGATGTTTCAAGTGTCATCTGGCATTAGCCCCTCCTTCCTCTTCTTCTGCTCCCTTTATTATTTACTATATCTTCTTTCCTTGCTCTGTGATACTTCCTCTTCCTCACCCATTTTCTACATGCCCTCCTCTCTCTTTCCAAGCCCCCCCTGTACACGTCATCTTCCTCCACCCCGTCCTCCTTCCTCTCCCCCACCTCCCCCCCAGTCCAGCCTCCCTCCCATAGCGGCAGCTGTGTGGTCCTGAATGCGGGGACTTGGTCGTGACTGATCCTTTAGGGTAGAATGCAGCGGTGTTTGTTTTGTTTTGTTTTTATAGGGATGTTTGGCCTAATACGCTGTGCGTTCTGAGTTTGGGAAAAGCATGCTGTGTCTGTCAGTGATTGGTCACTGGCCACGTGAACGTGTGTGTGCGTGCGTGCGTGTGTGTGTGTGTGTGTGCGCCCTTTTTTTAATCCGACTGGCTGACTGTCTTCTTTCACCTGTAGTTTATTTTTTTTTGTGTCTGTTCATCAGCTGTTCATCTAAACATAAATAATGACACAATCATCTTGCCACCCCTTCCCCTTTCTTTAACAGTGTGTTTTTGGTAGGGGAACCGGGGTGGGGCACAGTTATGGTTATGAACTCTCTCTCCTTCCATGTCCAACGCACAGTGGGGGAAAAAAAATATTGCATTTTAATGTTGCACAGGGGAACATGTTTATTGTGTAGTCATGGAGGGAGAGACCCACACAGAGCCTGAGCTACATCCTTGTGAATGCCGTACTGCACCAGATTAGCCAGTTTTGCCGACTGTCTGCTTGTTAATCTTTCGCTCTCTTCTCAGCAGTTTTTTGCTCACAATGTAACCCTTTTAGATTAACTGCTAGTCTGTGTGTAGAGGAAATACAGCAAACCCTTTTAACAACGATTTACTCTTGTTTCTCCCTTCATCGTATATCTTTCTCCTCCGCCACGCACCACACCCCCTTCCAACCCTCATCGACCCTCATCGCCTCGTCACAGGGCGGATATGCAGCGTATCGTTACGCCCAGCCGACTGCGGTAGCTCCCGCGGCAGCGGCGGCTGCAGCAGCAGCTTACAGTGACAGGTGAGTGGGCCGTGCGGCACGTTTTGAAGCCTCCTCTGACAGGCCAAGAGTTACTCACATTACAGCATATTAGTCACCTTGTGCTATGAGCTATTATTATGCGACACCTCATGTTTGATGGCTTTTTTTATTTTCCAATAGCTACGGACGAGTTTACACGGCAGACCCCTACCATGCTGCGCTCAACCCGGCTGCCTACGGCGTTGGAGCCATGGTAAGTCCCTGAAGCCCGTAGGTTGTCAAACATTCAAAGGATAAGGCGAGTGCTATTCTATATTTTTGTTATTGTCAGCAATTCCCATGAAGAGCAAAACCAACAATGTGTTATACCGTCCCTTAATACTTTAGAACATCACTTTTCTGCCCTTGGCTCTCCCCAAGTTCCTACTTAAGACGTAGATATTTAAAAACAGGTCACAACCATATAGTTTTATTTTTCTTAAGTAAAAAAAATTACCCTAAAAAACAGCTGAGGGCTGTAGTTTTGAGCACACGTTATTCAAAAGGGACAAAATTGTATATATTTTTAGAAAATGTATTTAGCCATTCATTATGTTTTTAGTGCATTCAGTGTTGACATCTGGATAACAAACTGCAAAATGGGTAAATGTCTTCAGGCCCTGAAAAGGTTGAGGCTTACTGTTAACCTAACGACAATTTTTGGACAACAATGGAGGTTTGTGACACAGAGGGGTGACATATATATCAGGGTTTGGTTTTGATCTTTTTATGGAATTTATTGACAATAAGGGAAACACAGAAAATCAACAGACTGATCATTAATGACTGATGTCATTTTGAAAGGACTTTATTCACTAGATGTTTATCTTTTGTCGTTTCACAGGCCACACTGTACAGGGGAGGCTACAGTAGATTTGCCCCTTACTAAAGACACTACATTTCCCAGGAGCTCCTCTCTTCCATTGAATTTCTCTGAAAGAGCTCCCTCTGTTGTCGTGGAGGTGGACTGCACCCAGTTTTAAAGTGTGGAGTCGACTCAACAAAGATATTTCAGATCCCTCCCCAGAGCAGTCCCACGTTTTCGTATATACGCTACTACAGAAATAGAGGAATGCTGTATTAAAGACTGACAGACGGCCTTTACAGTAAAAAAAAAAAAAGAAGAAGAAAAAAAAAGACTGGCCACCTTTCCTATTGCACGGCTGTATTATAGTCCCCTCTTCTTAATCCCTCGGCACTCAGCAGCACAAGAATCGTGATGGAGCCCAGATGTTCTTCCAAAGGCTGTATGTGGATAACTGACATTTTAAACAGCTGTCAACCGTGTGTGAGGAAAAAAAGAGCTGAGTGCTGTGTGGCCTGCACGCACTCAACATTTAAGGGAAAAGGGAGGGAATGAAAAGTGTCCACAGAACGTCGGAGCGATAGGAAAGCAGGAAGGCGCATCGAAAAAGAGAAGCTTAAAAAAACCAACATTTTGAACGACGAGTCACCGATGATAAAAACACCCACCGGTGGGATTTTTATGATCCCACCTTAACGTGGGCGGATAGTAATGAGAGAGGCTTTCCATTCTCGCTGTGTTCTGGCAGAGGGGCGACTGAACACGGCGGCTTGGAGGGATGATGTGTGACGGTTTATAACGCTACAGAAATCACGTCCGAAAGCTGAAGGGAGGGAGGGTTATTAGAGCTGTTCCTTACCTCAAGTTTTCTTAGTATGTGGAAATGGTGAACCTTTAAACTTAAAATTGTTATGATATGCAAAGAAATTAGTTTAGAGAAAAAAAGTTACCAAATTATTATTATTGTAATTATTCTCATTAATATTCTTATAAAAACATTATTTTGTTTGACTCAGCAGCCACTGCTGTTATGGGGCTTGTAGATCTAACAGTGAACCTTGGGGTTAAAATCAGAAAATAAGCATCTGTATTTCAAATACTCCACCTTATGGACTATATGACACAACCATAGTCTCACATCATCCTTCTAATGCACAGGATTTCACCACACTCTGTGTGCAACCACCACTAAAACACTACAGAAAGATCCAACACTAAAACATTGTCGTCTTTAATTGATTTCTTTAGCTTTTAGATCCAAACATCATCCACCCACAACCCCGGGGTTCAAGTATTTGTTGATCCTTTAATGTAGAGATTTATTATTTGGATTTTCCCCTCATGCTCCATCTTTTATAGAGCAAAGTCCAACATTGAATGAGTCTTCCTGAAACATACTTTAGTCGGTAAATGTGTTTGAGATGCTGCCAGCAGCGATTTACTGAGCAAGAGCGAGATTCTGTCGATGAGTTAATAGAAAATATTTAAATGCAAAACAACCTTACTATTGTGCATATTTCTATACCGTTGTATTCTATATTTCCAAAACGTGGCTTTTTTTTTGGCTTTTGTTTTTGTTCCAAAGATTTGTAGAAAGCACATTTTTCTGCCGTATGTATAAATATATTATCTTTTATTGTTATTATCATAATCCTATGGCTGTCTTTATTTACTTCTTTTTCACTTTGTATGTCTTTTTATATATATATATATATATATATATATATATATATATATATATATATCTTTTAAGTGTTGTCCCTTCTCTGGTAAGGTGCAAGTTCAATTTCAAGTTTTTTTTTGTTATTTTCTTTTGTATTGGAATAAAGTTCTTGAGCCGAGAACGTACCTGAGAAGCGACAAACTAGAGGTATGCATGTAACACTATCAAACCTTTGTCCTCTTGGTTGAAAAGTCAGTCAATCCAAGCTACAGTTTGTTTTGTTTTTGGTTGATTATAGGATCTGTGAGCATGACATTTGATTATTTCAAAAATATACAGGAACGACGGGATTTTTCTCTCATTCTGTGTCCATGTTTTGGTGTCTGAGACATTTGGAGTGAACGAACATAGGCGTGTAGCACTTTGGTTAAAACCAACTGTGTTCCTTTTTTAATTTTATTTTTAGTTTGAAGCAGACTCCTTACATTTCAGTGGTTGAACCTGTCAGCCCGACCAGCATGGTTGCTCCAGGTTTGTTTTAAAGTGTTATCACTCATACATGAGCAGGTTGATATTCCAACATGGTGAGAAACAAAATGTCATCGTGGGATATGATCTAAGTTGTGTGTTAAATGAGATCCGTATATATTTTTTTTCCTCTAATGTATTGACTAATTTCAAAGCTACTGTTGTGTTTTCCATTTCTCACATTTGGAAAAACAGGTAAATAAGTTTTTTTTTCTCTATTAAATGTGCTGCTGTTTAATTTTCTCATGACACTTATCATTTTATTTGTTATATATCCAAATTACTACAGAATGTGCTCTGGACACAAAAAAAAAAAAGAAAAAAAAAACCTAGCTAAAGATGCTAACTTACAGTCCCCAGCACGTTTTGGTTCTCTACTTGAGAAGTGCTACACAAAATACACAAAGATGGACTTATGAAGCCACTGGCGGCATGGACAAACCAGCATGAGCGATACTTGTCAAGTTTGAAAATCTTTTGCATGAATCTTGTGTCTTTTCATATTTTGACTCCTGAGCAGCCGAGCCCAGCTGCGTTCTTCTTTACCGCTAAACTCTATGGAGAATGACGGGCAGCTAGCAGTTTGAAGCTAGCTAACACAACAAAGAGCACAGCGATGTTTGGCAACAAAAAAAGGCCCGTTGACAAACGAAACGGCTGCCGCACAAAATATCACGTGGCAGCTTCATTTCTCCTGTCATGGTTTTCTTGCCACTGTATTATAGTAAAACTATGTGGCCATTCTTCATAGTTGCTATCCTCAATGAACAGTCCTCTTCTGTCATGTCTATATCCCCCTTGACTGCCATTATGTTTTTTAGTTATTGAATGTCCATATAAAATGTTTTATATAAAAATGTTTTGTTGTGATCACGCTTTCAGGTTGTTTTCTTTTGGTATTCTATTCATTTAGTCAAATGGATGATCATATTTTTTGTAGTTTTTCACATTATTGTACATGCAGAAAGTGAGCTAATTACTAATTTAAGTCTTAGTATTGATCCCCAAGTCGGCATAGTTTAAACCTGATGCAGAATTCTGCTTGATGGCAGTGGAAACACACGGCACTTCATTTTTCATCGTTTTTTTAAGCTGATATGGTAGCCTGGCAGCAAAACTGTCGCTTATTTCAACGTATCCAGATACAACAGTTCGTATGATATCTAACGAAAAAGTTACTTCTACATTTCTACACTTCTACAACACGTGCCAATTTCCGCTTCTGACATGCACAGAGTCTTTTAAGAATACACTACTGATCCGAAGCAACACTAGCATCCATTTAGAGTCTGGAGTTGCTGGTCCAACATTCTCTCTCTACTTTTAACTTTGTTTTAGTCTCCACCAACTCCTAGAGAAATCTGTAGCATTAGCATTTAAAGGGTTTATTTGAGCTTTTTGTTTAAAACAGCTACTTGCTGTGGCTGGAAACCACTGATAATGCTAAATCATAAACATGCAAGCTGGAAAATCAAGACATGAGCTGAAGGATGCTAAAGCGATCCGTAAAAACAAGACAAGCTGAACTTTTTCACATTACACAGCAATGACTAAAGCCCCTTTCCCACTGGACGCGAAACCCACTACATCTGGATTTTGACTTTTGTGAGAGGTTACAATCGGTAACCATACCCAGGGCAAAAGACTATGCAGTAGTCACTGGTATTTATCCGCTCTGATTGGCAGTGATGAAAACATGACACCCAGGTGGATACGCTACTTTTTGCCCCTTTTCCCATGCGATGCTATATCATATAAAAGAGAAATAACCACCGTGACATTATTATCTCTGCCAAGAGGATCGGTCGTGTGCGTGCGTCCTTGAGCGTTCTGTGTCTGTCTGCGTCTAATCTCTCATTCTGCTGCAGCTAACTGCATAATATTTCGTGTGGGCAGTTATGGCTGCATGCTCAAGAACGTCTCGTGGTTGTGGTGACTCGCACTTTCTCAAAACACCTTTTATTGCCTGCTATGTACTGCCTGCTGCCTCCCCACTCACTACACTGAACCGGCCCCCTTGGTCGGTAGGGGCCACTATTTATAACGTGTGCATCTCTGACCCCTGCTACTCTGCGCCTATAGACACAGTATTGACAAATTGTTTGCACACTTCTGTTGTGACAGTGTGTTTGGCTCATAGCTAATGGAACTACCAGTACAGATTGGTGAGGTTAATTTTGCAAGATTGTATAGAATGTCTTATATGACTACTTTGAGCCGATTGCCTGCATTCATCGCCACTTGTTTCAGTGAAGTGTTTTACGACGTCTTCTATTCATGTCGGCCTAACCCTCAACATTTTCCAGCCAGGTAAGTTTCAATCATTTATATATCATATCATTGATTATTTGCTGGTGATGTGATAACGTCACAATAAAATAATATAGATCGATTTTTTGATATGCGACTGGATAGAAGAGTGAAGGAGATTGGTGAGGAAAGGTAAGAATATGGTAACAGCCTGCCAATTTAGTATTTCAAACAACGTTTTGGAAATAAAATACAAAAATGGGAATCTGTTATAGCCAATGTTATCGAATAGTGTGCTATTTATTATTAAAGACAGGAAGGCGAGGAGAATGCAAAGGAGAACTTAAGGGAGTAAAGATAGTGAAGCGAGGAGAGTGTAGTAGAGTTAGGTGGAGAGGTAAATGTGTAGTTGCCAATCTAATCATCACATTTCTACACTTGATTGTTTTGTTGAGTATGTCACATATGAGGGAGACCGGGAGCACTGTCAGTCAAAAATAACAGCACGCTCCCATTTCCTTTTTGAGTTCACAGGAGAAGAGGGGGGTCGACCAGCAAACGACCAAGAAACAGATTTTCAAGTCAGAAAGTTTATATTATATTTTCCCCAGCAATTATTGTATTGTTGGTACTGTGCAATGGCTTGACTTAAAAAACCTTTCCCCTAGTTTAATGTTTTTATTTAGATTCATGCTAGGCTCAAAACCTCATGCTACACAATGTAGCTATCGAATAGCTGCTTGGGTTGGGGATGCCATAGGAGCAGCTATCTATGTGAAACATGCACATTCAGGGATACAGTGTACACACCCACAGAACCACACAATTGTGTTTGTGCTTTATTTAAAGTTACAAAAGTTAAAAGAAATGGGGTTTTTAATCTTTAAATTGTTTACTTTTTTCATAACTGTTTATTCTTTGTTCTTCAATAGAGTTCTCCAATAAACTGGATGGCTTGGATCTTATTTCAGCAAATTACCTCTCATTGTTACATTTATCCCGAGCAAGTGTTACGACTCACTCTAGTGGTGGGATTCCAACGATGGAACTCAGGAATGCATTTTTCATTAACTCGCATAATGCGTGATTGCGTAATAGATGTCCAAGTGAGTTCTAATTGTAGTAGATAAATATGGGTACTTTGTATCAAAGTTCGAAAGATCTAGCATTAACAACCACTGATTCAGTTCTTGATGGTGTGCACAAATTTACATTCATAGTTCATAAAAATAGAAATCATAAACGGCTGTACATTAAAAAAGGAATAGCTCCAAAGAGGAGGAGGGTCATGGTGTAGAAAAGGTTGGAGAAAGGAGCAAAGATTTAGTGGTGATATACTTCAAAACAGGTATAAAACCACAGCTTTCAACAGATGTAGTCCATCGTCTCTCAGAAATGCACAAGCCAGGTGCCTGCCGTATGGTGTAAGCATGGGGGAGGAAGTTTGGAGCTATTGCTCAAAGCATAGATACCTCAGTGAAGTGTGTATATAAATATACAGTGTGTATATATATATATATATAAATAAATAATTGTGATGTCGAACTTTTTTTAAATTTTTTTTGACAATTTTGCCACATTTTCGATCAGCTTTGGGCATGTTTCACAACGCCTACGTGGACCTAACACAACAACAGACATCAGGTCAGGTATGTTGGTAGGGGAAGGAGAGCAGGGCGAGAGGGGAGGACCGGGCCAAAATCGGTGCAGGAAGGTAAAATAGTTGTGGTGAAAATGCTGCAGGTTTTCTTTAGACAATTCCGTATTTGGCCAGGTCGCTGAGCTCCATGTCCCCGAAGGCTTCCCATGGGCAAACCACTGTGATGTCTGTGCCCAGGCCCTCCATGCCCGGGATGTCGTCTCCGAATCTGAAGAAGAGTTGATATGTGACTTTCATTTGTGGAAGAATTCAGATGCAACATTGTGAAAACTGTCCATTACCACCATTGGCTTAATTTTATTAGCTTATGCCATTATGTTGTTGTTGATTTAATGTAGAGTCTTAAAATGAAAAGTAGGTAGTAACGGATAAATGTAGTGGAGTAAAAATCACTTTATTTCTGTACTGCTACTGTATAAAGTAGCAGAAAATCTAAAATACCAAAGCACCACTACTCCTCTCACCCCTTCTGGCCGGGTTTAGGCGCCTTGCTCTTGAAGGTACGAGTAGTCCTCTGCTTGAACTTGGGAGGTCCCTTCTTGTCGGCGGAAGCAGCAACACCTGCGTCTGCCATCTTTCAGCACTAAGAGACAACAACTAAAAAGTCAATTTGCATGTCTTAATGTGTAAGACCCCTCATCCCCCTCCTCCTCTAAGCCCCGCTGCTCGGATGATATATCATCCTCAGGTTGGGTCAAACATTGACTAAAGCTGGCACAAAGCTCCTTCAGACCCTGTTACACGAACAGCTTTGTGTATTTTTACACCTTGGCTTTAAAGGTTACTCTTGCCCAGTAACAGGCCGTACATCTTGAGGCGAGGATATCACCAAGTTCACCTAATTCCAGTCTGAAGTCAACACTGTATGTTGTGAATAATAACCCCCTGAGTCTAAGGAGATTTTGCCCCCAACAACTAATTTTCAATCTGCTCTAATCCGACCTTTCTGTGACTTTGGTCATGAGTCTTATCTTAATGGAAAGCTCAGCGGTGCTGTGGACTTTGCCAGAATTTTACTTTGACCTCTCTGATGGCATAAAGTCTCAGTTAACCAGTTGGTTCTTAAACTTCACACCCAAATTCCTGATTTAGTTCCACAATTCTCATGATTTTAATCAGCCACAGCTGACAAAGTTAGCAGTTATTGTTTTCAGTTATACGGTGTATAAAAGTCAACACAACCGATTACTGTAGCATCTGTGTTGTCGCCAATCCATAGTGATGAAAATACCAAAAGACTTCTCTTTTTAATTGGTTGTGACCTCAGTAAACTAGGATGCACTCTTGAGATTGATCTAAATCTTTTTTATTTTGGGGGGGGGGGGTCAAAATGGCTGCCCAATTATTTAACATAAACAAGCAGAGATCCAATATTTACTGAAAAGAGAATAGTAAGAAAGGGAGGAGAAGTCACATAGTTAATGATGGTTTCCATCAGAGTTTAAAGTGTTAGAAACGTTAGAGATGTTTCCAGTCCTTTCAGGGCGTCAAGACAGTCTCTGTTTTATTGGCTCGTTTGTTTCCATTTTCCTTTAACTTGTTCTCATTTATTAGTTTTGTCTTTTCTTATGTATCGCTACCACTTATGTCATCACTGCTATTGTATGTTACTATGATTCATCCTTTTACTATGCTGCAAGCAAATGTCCCATGAACTAATCTGAAAGAAAGACCTAAAATGAAAAAAAAAATATATATATATATATATTCTCAATCTTTTGCACATACATAATCAATCGTCCTTAGGACAGATGAACAGAAATTTGGAAAAGACGTCCTGCCGTTAATATTTGAACAAGTCGAGCTGAAAATGACGACAATCAAAGGTCATTCTCCACTTAAGATTTTCCATTAAATTCAATCAAATTGTCTGAAGTGAAATCAGGCTTTGTAAGTAAATAAGTTTCTGGTAATAATTTTTTCCTTCTCAAATCTAGTCTTGTGTGTCTTAAACCTGCAGAATAAAAAGGAATCACTTCTGATGAGATATTGCAGGGCCTCAGTAATGTCAAAAGAAAGTAGTTAAGTAAAGTCAATTTAACTTATATAATACCTTACAGAAGGTAGAAATATAAAAGAGACCAAGAAAATGTATAAAACAAAAGAATGCAAAGTGCACATAATATAAAGTTGTAAAGTGGACAAAACGACAAAAAAAAAATAATCTGGTTTTTCATTTGTATAAAAAAGGTTTTGGCTTCTTAGAGACATCCGAGGCTTTTTCCAAAATTGATCAGCAACAATAGCACATCCCAAGAACAGATTCCGTTGTCTAAAATATAACTTCACATCCGTGACAAGTGTACCTCACTCTGATCTCACGCTTTTGCAGCACCTTTCTGCACTCTTCTTCATGGTCTAACCTTACTCATTACAGCAGTTTTAAAAGTTAGCCAACATGGCAGCTGAGACAAGATCAAAGTTTGGTCTTACCTGTTTCTTTGTTGGCTTCAGGCCGATGTCTCTCTGGTTAGTTTATGTCTTTCTGCTCTTTAACCCTGGTATCGTCTTATATACTACCTGATGCTAATCCCCCTGATATATTTCTGTCCCCTCCGCTCTATCAGATTAAGGAGGGGGCTCAACAGTGTGCATAGTGGAGCATCTCCGAGAAAAACTCAATTCAATTTATTGTACGATGCGAGTTGTTTTGGGACCTGATTCTGAATATGTCAATCTTATTTTTTGAATTAGTGCATTTAAAAAAAAAAAAATGATCTAAATTATTATTCTACAACAACAATAAATTGAGCTCAAAGGGAAACGGTGTATTATTAAAGCTCGTTCTTGACCTTTGCAAAAAATTATTTGACAGAAGAATCTTAACTCAATGGTCTGTTTACTACTCCAGAGCTTTCAACCACATCTCACAGTCTTCATCAGCTTATTAAAAAAAGGTGATAAAGCTAGAAAATGTACTTTAAATTTATATTTTCTCTATCAAATAATATAAACAGTGAAGATTTAGTGGCTAAATTGGACGCTCTAACAAAATCATGGAGTGAGTCTTTTATGTTTGACCACCCTCACACGTGTCTTCATGTCACATTAATACGTGTTCAGTTGTCAGATACTGTGTGAGTATCGTCTCTCTTTAACCTGAGTCCGTGCCATGAGGTGAAGGATTAAGAGCTGTTCTTTTTCTGTCATGGGGGATTGATCTCATGGCTCAGGGCTTCCCTGGTCTTACATCACATGCTCCATCCATCGTATCAGTTGCGTCAGTGAACATGTTTGTTTACAAAATAAGGTTAAAATACATCCCAGTATTTTACAATTACTGCTGGGCTCTGTGTCTTTATATGACCAGAACTGCTTTGGAGATTTATGGAATATTTGGAAATTGCTGTTTTCAACATGGGAGTAAATGAACTGAATAACTGGAAACTAAAAACGACATATTCCACCATCATACCATAGTCGACTCCAAGTTCCCTCCTTGATGACCGAGCTCCTTACCCTATCTCTAAGGCTGAGCCCGGCCACCCTACGGAGGAAACTCATTTAAAAACCTCATCCTTCGCGTCGAAAGGACTCAGCTTAGGTGGTTCGGGCATCTAATTAGGATGCCTCCTGGACGCCTCCCACTGGAGGTTTTCCAGGCACGTCCAACTGGGAGGAGGCCCCGGGGAAGACCCAGAACACGCTGGAGGGATTATATCTCCCAGCTGACGTGGGAACGCCTCGGGATCCCCCAGTATGAGCTGGAACATGTTGCCGGTGAGAGGGAAGTCTGGGTCAGCCTGCTTGGCCTGCTGCCACCGCGACCCGACCCCGGATAAGCGGAGGAAAATGGATGGATGGATGGCATACCATAGTCTAAAAACGTTTCCATTAAAATTAAAATTCTTGAATTCAAAATTTTACTAAAGCAAAAGGACAAAAGTATTATCAGCAAAATGTACTTAAAGTATCACAAAAAGAGTGCTAAATATGCTACATACAACAAAAGCCAAAGGGAGGGAGCTGTCAAATGCAAAAAAAGTAGGAATTTATAATTTAAAAAATCCATCAGAGCAGCTGCTGGTTCACATCTTTTTGTGTTATTCAAGTTATTGAGTTCTTGTATTTTGGCACATTCAGCATAAAATATTTCATCACTTTACTGCATCTGACACCTTTTTTTGTAGCCTTTTATCACTAAGCGGGTTGAAAAGCCTTTATGCTGCTCGTTATAGACATATTGTAAAAACAAAGGACATTGTTTTACACCTGCAGTTGTTTTTCATACACATTAAATAAATGACTCCTGTTTCTAAACTAAAATGAGAAGTTACACGTACTACAATACAATTGTAGAATCTGATGCTGAGGGGTCAAATAGGGGTATAGCTTGTGAGGGAATGTGTCAGACAATAACTTCAACTTGATAGTCGTGTTAATTACTGTCACTCACTCCTGCCAATTAATGACACAATAATTCACTTTATTCACACGTTGAGATCTACAGTAACTTGGAGTACACCTGGCTGTATTTATATCTCATCTTTTCGAGGCTGAGCTGGTACAGATGAGAACGGAGCCAAGTTGGCAAATAAAACAATCGCACACCATCTGATGGGATTAGCCACTTGGAGGACTTTAAAAAGGGACCATCGGACGGAGAGAGAAAACCACAAGTAAGAAACAAGCGAGACAGCATCAGAAAAACACTTTGACTTCAACAGAAGGTGAGTTGAAACTGCAATTTTCTCAGCTCTGCTACAGATTTGATAACATGTAATGCTTCAGAGAAGAAAAGGACAGACAGAGTGAGGTCTTTATAGCTTTTTTTCCTGAGTATTATGGCTGAAAAGGAGCTGAAATGAGATCTGAGATTGTTACTTCACTAGGAAAACTTCAATAGGAATAGTTCTTTGTGCCGGACTTCTTGTTGCTACAGAAAGCCCAGTCTCTATTTCCATATAATGTCCTCTTTTTACTCGATGGAGGAGTTTTGAATGCTGGTTGTACTTTCTTTATCAATGCATTATGTATTATGCTTTGACGAGCTATTGATTTTTGATTTTACTGTAATAACACCTCTATAAAGGGGAGATTACTGGCTGTCAGTAGCAGAGGAATATGCAGAAGCAAAGCATGTTTATTTGTGTTGCACCTTTTAACAGCTAGGCTATTCACAGTGCTGTACTTAATACTAAAGAAAGGCATTGAGACAAGATGTCAAATAAACACAAGGCAATATGAATTTACACATTTAAATAGGGTTTCAAAAGAGTGAAACGAAATTGAATAGAAATGGGTGCAGTGCAAGATATTAATTAATTTGTCCTAGGTTTAATTTAGGACAAAGCAGTGGCAAACCAAAGGTTTATGAACACTGAGTGTCATGGATCTCATATATTTTGTTCTTTTTCAGTAAATAATCAAAATGTCAGACGCAGCTGTTGCAGTCCCCGTCGACAAGAAGGCACCTCCCAAATTCAAGCGGAGGGCCATGCGCACCTTCAAGAGCAAGGCGCCTAAACCCGGCCAGAAGGGGTGACATGGATTTAAGATCTCACACACACATACACAATAAATAAGTATTTTCTTCATTTGCCATTTTAGTCCTTTACTTTCATACAAAACTTCTCTCAGTTTGTACTGATCAGATCTTCTTTGTCTCATGCGCTCAGATTCGGAGACGACATCCCCGGCATGGAGGGCCTGGGCACAGACATCACAGTGGTTTGCCCATGGGAAGCCTTCGGGGACATGGAGCTCGGCGACCTGGCCAAATATGGAGTTGTTTAGCCCTCTGGCCTCTGCCTTTAACCGTATTGCCACAACTGTCCCTCATGTATTCCAACTTTTGACTGTGCAAGAGTCAGCAGCTCTAAACCTGAGCTTCTACTTTCCACAGAGGAAAGAAAAGGATATATATATATATATATATATATATATATATATATATATATATATATATAAATAAATAAATAATGTTGAAATATAAAAGAGGGTTTGATATCTGTTATTGTGATATCCCTGGCCATTTTCTTTCTCCTCTTCCACCTCGTCTCCTCAAAGCTGCGGATTCAACATGCACAGATGTTTATTTTGTGTATTATCTCAAATAAACATATCTTTTTATGATGAAGTCAATAATTCCTTTCCCTCCTTTGTGAAATAAATAATTGATGTACTTTGTCAGTAGAAAGGAACAATTCCATGAACACAACATTAAATGTTAATGTTTTCCATAGAACAGTCTCTGTGTTGTTCCTATTATTAGCACCACATGCTTCTCCGATGTTTAAAACAGTTTAAACATATCACACTTGATGCCAAATACTTGGCAAATTTTTAACTGTTTTTTTTTGGCTTCAGAGAATTATTTAATACAATAATCTGGGCTTAATAACTCACTTACTGACACTGCTGTGGCCCGTTTTTAGCTGCCCCAAATTTAATGTTAGTCATTGAAATTGTAAAAATAAATCCAGCTTCAAGCACAGAGGTTGACAAGAAGATGAATGAAGCTCTTGTTGCCATGGCAACCAAAGGCTTTTATTTTTTTCCACACGTAGATGGAAGAGAGAGGTTTGACAGAGAGGACCACATGCCAATAGACATCAATTGATCTGCTTTTACAGAAATCTATTCTTTTTAAGAAGTTTAATAAAGAAGTAAGAAACTATTTAACAAGAGATGATTCGACCTCTTGTTCTCTTTTCCCAGTCGGCGGACCAGCCGACAGCTGTTCTTGCTGGTTTTCCCGGCTCCCAGGCCATGAGGTTTTCTGCTCCTTCCCTGTTCAGCTCTCAGACCGCTTGTCCCTGAATGCGTCCTCCCCCTGCACCAATTAGCTGATTGAGCTTGTAAACAGTGAGTAGACAAACGCTGAGTGCCTAAAGCAATGTGGCGTAAATTTGGCAAACATGAGTTGAAAAACCACTCCACCGCAAGGAGACGTTGCTTTGATATCTCCTTGCCAGCCCCCCCCCCCCCCAAAAGGTTAAGAACCACTGCTCTACAGAAACTTCTTGGACTATTCTGATCTGGTCCATGAATCCCAGAGATTAATCCACGAGAAGCCTTCGGTGATGTGAAGCTCAGCAGTCTGGTGGAATACCTCACATTTAACTTTCCTCTTCCGATCTTGTAATAATTGTTCTTCCTTTGATCCCCCCCCCCTCCCCCATGTCTCCCCCCAAGGTCCCTGCTAATGAAGTAACCAAAGGTTTTGAACTGATGGTTGCTATTCATACCACATTTCATGAGGCACTGTCCCTTTGACTGCTCGCTGTTTAGAGGCTCAAACAGCTAATTGGTGCAGTGACACGAATGCACATTGATGTCTGGAGGACATACACACACTCACACACACAGACATTGGCACCAACAGAAATGTTGCCATGGAGCTACTAATTATTGTATTGTGTGTGTGTGAGAGAGAGAGAGAGAGAGAGAGAGAGAGAGAGAGAGAGAGAGAGAGGTTCTCCAACACGCTTGGAAAGGGAGGGGTGAGCGAAGGGGTATTCAGTTGGTTGCAATCTACAACTTCACCACTCGATGCCACTAAATCCTACATGCTGGACCTCTAGGTATGACTGTAACACCCATTTTCAACACTTCCAAGTTTGAATTCAGTGTGTTTTCGATGATCAGTGAGATAAATTACTGGTGTCTGCCTGGGGTGAGGTGGCTTTGAGGTGAGCATATTAACAGTATGTTTTACAATTTAATAAATTGTCCAAATCTCTGTTGATTACGTTTATTAAATATTCACTTTAATATGCTTCACATAGCATCAGGCTAAGATACTTCTACTTTACTTGAGTATTTCCTTTTTAAGGCAAGGGCAGAGAAAGTGCATGAGACAAGAGAAAGTGCTGGACATCTATTTTTTTCCCCAGGTCAAACCTTTTATTAATCAATATCTGCCTCCTCTCTATGGAACAAGTACAAGATTTTTAGCTGCACAGTCAAAAGTTGGAATACATGAGGGACAGTTGTGGCAATACGGTTAAAGGCAGAGGCCAGAGGGCTAAACAATTCCATATTTGGCCAGGTCGCCGAGCTCCATGTCCCCGAAGGCTTCCCATGGGCAAACCACCGTGATGTCTGTGCCCAGGCCCTCCATGCCGGGGATGTCGTCTCCGAATCTGAGCGCATGAGACAAAGAAGATCTGATCAGTACAAACTGAGAGATACAAGTTCGTACTTGAAAGTATAGGACTGAAGTGACAATTAAAGTAAACACTTGTGTATTATTTTGTTTGTGTGCAATCTTAAATCCATCTCACCCCTTCTGGCCGGGTTTAGGCGCCTTGCTCTTGAAGGTACGATTAGTCCTCTGCTTGAATTTGGGAGGTGCCCTCCTGTCGGCAGGAAGTGCTACGTCTGCCATTTTGGTTATTTACTGAAAAAGAAAAAGAACAAAATATATGACATCCGTCAACTGATAATCTCTCCTTCATAGCGGTGTCATTACAGTAACAATCAAAAATCAAGCTTGTTAAAATAACGGACATAACATCAAAGCATAGATACATTAAACATTGACAAAGAAAGTGCAACCAGCGTTCAAAACTTTGTTCATCCAAATCCATCGAGTGAAAAGAGGACATTACAAAGAAATAGAGACCGGGCTTCTAGCAGTGCCAACAAGAAGGCCGGCACAAAGAACTGTTCCTTTTGAAGTCCCAGTAAAAACATCAGATCTCATTTCAGCTCCTTTTCAGCCATAATACTCAGGAAAAACAGCTATAAAGACGTCACTCTGCCTGTCCTCTTCTTCTGTGAAGCATTACATGTTATCAAAGCTGTAGCAGAGCTGAGAAAATTGCAGTTTCAACTCACCTTCTGTTGGAGTTAAAGTGTTTTTCTGATGCTGTCTCGCTTGTTTCTTACTTGTGGTTGTCTCTCTCCGTCCGTCGGTCCCCTTTTTAAAGTCCTCCAAGTGGCTAATCCCATCAGATGGTGTGCGATTGTTTCATGTGCCGACTCAGCGCTGTCCTTTTCTGTACCAGCTCAGCCTCGAATAGACGAGATAAAGCAAAGCGAGATATAAATACAGTACAGGTGTACTTCAAGTTACTGTAGATCTCTCAGTAGATATCTGTCAGTCAGTCTGTCACAGCACAGCACACTTTACCCCTCAGCATCAGATTCTACAATTGTATTACAGTACAAGTAACTACTTTTTTTTTTGTTGAAAATAAAAAATAACCGCAGGTGTAAAACAATGTCCTTTGTATTAATGATTATTTATGATTATTGAGCATTTTCTGCTACTTTATACTTCTACCTCACTACAATTCAGAGAGAAATATTGTACTTTTTACTCCACTACATTAATTTGACCCTTATAGCTACTAGCTAGCTTTTACATTAAAAACACATGATATGCTTATATGATATGATGCAGTATTATACTACTAATCTACGGAGTATACACAGTATCTACAATTGTCTCCACATTGACCAACTACAACATTAAAATACTCATATATTTATGTGTAATTGTGAAAGAAACAACAATGATATCAATGTTCTTCATCGCAGCTTTATTTGTGATACTTTAAGTACATATTGCTTGTAATACTTCTGTACCTTTACTTTAGTAACATTTTTCCTTCAACACTTACTTGTAATGGAGTATTTTCAGACTATGGTATTTCTACTTTTGCTTTAGTAAATGATCCAAATACTTCTTCCACCACTTCAACTCCTACATTTAACAATAATACGTCTAGATGTCTGATGGTATGGAATATTTCGATTTTAATTCCAAGTCGCAGTTTATTTACTGCCATGTAAAGACTTGAAAACAGCAATTTTCAAATATTACATGATGCTTAACAGCAGCCCTATGACACAGAGCCCAGCAGTATTTGTAAAATACTAAAGATTGGGATATATTTTCAACTTATTTGCAAACAAACATGTGTCCTGACACCACTGGTTCGAAGATCTTTCAGCATGTGATGTAAGATCAGGGAAGCCCTGAGATTAATCACTTATACAGAACAGAACACCACTCGGCTCTTAATCCCTCACCTCATGAAATGGACTCGGGATAAAGAGAGACAACACTGACAGGTGAACAAGTGCTGATTTGACATGCAAAGACACGTCTGAGGGTGGTCAAAGATGAAAGACAGTCTCTGTGATTTTGTTATAGTATCCGATTTTGGCGCTAAATCTTCACTATTTATATTATTTGACAGAAAATTTGAATTCAACCCCCATTTTCTTGTTAATCTGCTTTTTTTGATTTAGCTTATTAAGACTGTGTGGTGTCTATTTTTGCACGCTGGCTGTAGGATTACACTTTGCAAAGTCACAGAAAGCACATTAAGCACAGTAATCATCTTGACTAAATCTCACTGTGTGTACCTTGTTTTGTGTCCTAATTTCCTCTAATCCCCTCTACTTTCAGTTTCTTCTTTATGATACCGTACATTGAAGATGTATTCTGCCTGTCAGAAGTAATTGGAAGCTGCTCTGGTATTTCATTTTGCGAATTGTCCTGAGCCATGGACAATTATATAGTATATATAGTGTATGTATAGAATTGTCTGCTGTATCTTTTCTTTGAGAAATACTGCACATGTATAGCAAATACGTAGTTAAAGATAAGTAGCTAAAAGTTAGTTTAGTACATACATAGCAACACAGACAAAACTAAATATAGAAAAACAACTCTGATGGCTCCACAGAAGGCTCATTGCAGAACCCAGAATACTTCAGGTGACGCCTGTCTGGCACTAGTCAGAGGTTTTCTCTCCACTTTGTTGTTTGCTCGGACAAGAAGGTTCAATTCTTGACTCTGAGGTTTGACCAGCTGGCAGCTAAGAGGCTGTAATATGATTGGGATAAGTGCAGAGAGATACCCTGTGTGAGTGTTATCAGCCAAGACTACCCTGTTGACCCTAAAGTGGAATGCTAAAGACACATGCACACATTCAGGGTGTTTTGCTAGCTGATGTATTATTTTATCTTGAAATAAGAGGGTAATTAACAGTAGAGTATGATATAAACATTTTTTTTTTAATTCTGGTGTAAAGAAAATAAAAAAGTTTGCCAAAAATAAAAAATATAGTATGTTGAAAATAAGTTATTAAAATAAACATAGTATAGTATGCTGAAAGAAGTCATAAAGTCAAGTTATAGTTTGTAAAATAAATCATAGATTGTCTAGTATGTCCAAAGAAATTATAAAAAGTAACTGAATAGTATAGAAAACAAATCATGAAAATGTCTTAATACAGCACGTTGAAAAAAATAAGTCACAGTATATTGTGTCCAAAAAAGTCCTAAAAAGTCAAAGTATAGTAAAAGAATTCTTAAAAGAGGCATGGTATAGTAAAAATCATAATGTATCGTATTTAATGAAAAAATCATAGTTATATCGCAGAATTCATAATGAAGTCTTACTAAAAAAGTCATAAAGTCAAAATATGGTATTCAAAGAAATCATAATATGTCATTGTAGTATGTTGAAAAAAGTAATAAAAAAGTGGTGGTATAGTATTTAAAAATACACAAAAAATAATGTGTCAAAAAGTCATAAAAAGGCATTTTCATCATCAACAAACATCATAAATACGTCATAGTATAGTATGTTGATAAAAGTCACAAAACAGTTATATAATAAATAACTATAATAAAATAGCTATAACTTTGTGATTGTGTCTAGGGCAGCAGAGAAGGCCTTGCTGGCCCTGACGGCCCACCACTGACTTGTATACACTAAATAATACACAGTCATTTGTGGGCTGTGATCTAAATCGTCACCTTTCACTGTGCTGTCACGCTCATGAGAGAGAATAAGTGTTTGTAAGAAGCTTTATTTGGTCTTTGCCTGAGAAGAGTTGCATGTCACTATCACGTCACCTGTACATACATCAGAAGTCATAAGCCTATGGCGTGAGCTGTTGACCTATTTGCAGTATTAGTGTTGCCCTGTTGCCCTTAAGCCCCATGTGAACAAACGTCCCACCCCAGACCTGACAGTAAGGCGAGACCCTGTGTTATTGTTTTTTTAATCTGAGAAGACGTTTGTTGGTGTTGTGATAATATACAAGTAATGAGTCTCTAATTCCCCGACTACAGTTGTTTTTTTGTCATTATTGTCCTCACTAAATAGCTTTAGGAGGCTATTTTTGTGTGTTTTTTACAATCAGAATAACGTTTTTTATCTTCAATAATTTTAGATTTGTATGCAGAGTATTTGGATTTTATTGAGGCACAAGAAAAAGTTTACAGGGTTCAGACCATTTTGTCCTGAAGAGTTCCTTGTATTTTGTGCATCCAGACGTTTTTTCTGCTCTGTGGTCGACCAAACTATACCTCGCCAGAACATTTTTAGCAGGTTCCTCTGTCAATGGGAAAAATGTTAAAATCATCATGTAAAACATCAAACTTCATATAAATTATTGTTCTGGAATTTAGTTTAATAATATCATTGGTGCCGTTATGAATAAATCTGCATTTCAGAGGCTTTTAGTTTTAGTTTTAACATCAACACATGGTGGTTTGTGGTAGTTTGTGGGCTTTTCTGTCTCTCTAAGTTACGTAAGAAAATGTTTTATTGTTCGTCTTGGGTGACAGTTTCAGATTTTAATAGTTGCTCCTCTATTATAATTTGAACACACTAATAGTTTAAAAATCTAGTATTAATAAATATTGAAATGTCACATTTAGACATTATTTAGAAGTTATTCAGTTGATTTGTTCAAATCTTTTTCTCACATAGATTGTTTTGAGATATTTACTGAGAATTCTTTACATATATTAATTTGCACTTACTGAATGTTGGAAATAAATACCTTTCATTTTCAAAGTATTTCTATAAATGCATAATAAATCTGTTTTATATTGCACACTTTTCAATGTACTCAAAGAGGATTTGCAATATTTTAAAACAGCAAGGTAAAATATGTTAAAAAGGTAACAAAAAGAAGAAAATCAAGAGTATAACATCTAGATTCACACCTCGATTTCTTATAATAACAGCTATTCATAAAGAAAATAGTGAGATTGCATCTCCGAATACCAATAAGTAAGGATGGCTGGGAGCTGTGTCCCTCCTGTGGTGAATGCACCAGAATGCAGCCTAGTTAATCACGGGTCACATCGGCCTCCTCACTCGAAATCTGCAGCCTGAGTATTAACCAGGCTGCAATGTCAGCAAAGCCTCACACTCACAACCGATTAATGTAGCACACTGCAGCACAAGACATTTTGACAGCAAAGTTGCTCAGAAGATGCTACTAATGAGCCACAAGAAAAGGTGTGCGATGTGTCTCAAAAGCAAAGGTCAGCTGGACCAATGGGACCATTATTGTCCTCAACCCCATATTGCCCCCACACCACACTGTACACACACTCTCACCTGTCCCCTGTCGCATGGTGACACGTAGTCTAATGTCCCAGCCTGCCCACTTATCAAGAACACCTGGCTGGTTCTCATGAAAGGCTCCAATCACATCCCAGAGAGGTTGCAGCAGCCACAGCCGGCTGCCATGTGGCCACTGTCGGACACAGAGCAGAGGTGACACAACTCCTCGTACGAAGTCAAACAGCTACAGAGTCTCCAGGACATTCCTTGCTGTGTTCTCTTTTCCTGCCACTCTGTCAGCTGAATCAGTTGAAACATGCTGATCACTCTGTTTTTCTGCCTCCTGGTGTCTTCTGTCATTGCCACAGAGAAAGGTAAATTGATTTAAGTATAACGAGTCTTCTTGATCGTCTTCTAGGAGTTATTTTCTCTGCTTTCAGTGCGGAAAAATCAAACGTACCTCAAAGTGTTGTAACTACACAGTTTGTAGACTTTGTCTTTCACAACTTCCACTAAACCATCCCATTTTTACCAATTGTGTAAGATTTGTGAAAGATTGATAGTCCACGAAGGATGAATCCTTCTCATGTTGGTGA